CAATACTGTAAAAGTGGTAGTAATTAGAAAGGTTATTTAGCAGCATTTTAATTCTGAAGGACTTAGCCTAGTTGAGTTTTTGGCTAGTAAGGTTGTGTGAGATCTTTTAATTGCTATTAAGATATAGTCATGTGGAATTCCAGTCTATTTGGTTAGCAAAGTTAGACCACTCAGAGTTGTGCCTTTGTGAAGACTAGATTGTAGCTATATATGCTCTACAGATAGTTTTAATACAGGCTCTACTATTGCTTTTAATAGTATATTTTTCTTACTAAAGAACAAATGCAGAGTTGTAAATATTGCTAGGGTTTATGCTAAGGTTGGGTGTTGTTTTGCTAATGTATCAACATGGTTATTAAATTTGTTGTTTGAGTATGCTAAGACTTTAATTAAACTAAATTTGAGGTTGAAGGATTTGATGAGGTTCATGATCATCTGCCATATAGGCCAACATTTTAGTTTTAGATATTTGGTAGACTGCAGGGGTGTGTTAAGAAGTTTATCATATTTGAAAATAACTAATTAGAAGTCTGTGTAGATTTCTGTTGCTGTATTCCTAGAGACTGTGGTAATAGCTGCTAGGATTGCCATTAGTTTGGCTTTGTAAGATGATGGCTAATTTGTGATTTTAGCTAAGAACTCTTGAGTTATTTGGTTGTTTTGGACCTGGATCTAGCCTATATCCATGGAGCATGAGCTAGTGCTGATTCCAGTTATAAAGCCATCAGTATAGAATATAAAGGTGTTGTAGCTTGCATTAGCTTGGGCAAGATGTATTAAGATTTGAGAGGCTGGGCTATCTTGAAATATAAAGAGCACTAGAGAGTTGGTGATGTTAATTGTAGAGGGGGCTAGAATATTAAGAGGGTGTTTAATGGCTGTGAAGTAGATAAGATCAATATAGTTAGCATTGAGTTTTAACATCTTGTTAGCTGTTTTTCTTTCTAAAAACTAGGTTGAGAGAGTTGTAGAGACTTCAAGTATGCACTGGTTTTGGATTCAGTTAGAGTTTAGATTGCATCTTGGTCAAGGTTGGCATAAAATAGATGGAAGTGGGTATTTATAATATTGAGAGGTATCAATATTGTAAGTCCAGTAAGTAATTGAGATGGTGTTGGCTTGTTTAAAGTGTCTTTTGACTTGTTCAATAATAATCTGATTATCTGTGTAGGTAAGGAGCCAAGATTTATAGGTTTTGTGTATGAGGTTTGTTTGGTAAGCAAAAGAATTAGTGCCTGGTAGTTGAAGATGTAAATAAATAGTATAGTGTAGTTGGTCAGTTAATAGTCTGTTTTTCAGAAAGGTAAACCATGTTGGTTTCTTTCCTTTGGGGAGGTGTAGTAGCCTGAGTGATAGATATTGCCATTTGAGTAAGGTTTTATTGTCTGCTATACAAAGCTACTCAAGGTAAAGAATTTTCTTTGCTCTAAGTTGTTGCTTAAAGGTACTGTATTGGGGGTGCTGATTAAGTATTTTCTCAAGAGGTGTGTTGCTACAGCTAAGAGTTTGTGGCCATGGTATATCCGGGTTGGTTTGAATAGTGATATTGTGCTTTTTTAGTAGCTGTATAATTTTGAAGTTAGTAGTGTGATGATTAGAACCATCAATAAGTGGCTGTGGGTAACTAAGGATATTGGTTGTAGACCAAAGATTGTTTTGAAGTTGTTGAAGCCTAATACAAGTAGTAAGTCTTAAAGTAAAATTGTTGTTAAGCCTAGCAAGGAGGTTGCTAGCATGGTGTTGCAGCTATATGTCCCAGATGTTGTAGATGTTGTAAATCCTATAACTAAGCATAGTGCTATTGGAAGTTGATCTTGCAAGATAAGCTTTATGCTTAGTAACTATAAAGTATTTGCTTAAGATTCTATTATATATTAATTGTAGAATGATAATGTTTTGACTTCTATATTTGATAGTAGGGAGAATAACAGTATTGATGATATATGTAATTTGTTTATTGATAATATTTTTAGTACTTGCAATATTAATAAGTTGCATTGCTTCATCTTGAACTAGCTTGATTTGAATGCTTTGTTTGCTGCTAAGTGTAAATCAGCAGCCTAGAAATTTGAATAGCTGGTTACTGAGAATTGGTATTAGGCTTGATTCAAGGAAAGGGATGCTAGTAGATATGTGTTTAGAGATGAGACTTAATTTAGTAGGGTTGACTTGTATGCTAGCCATTTGATAGAAGGAGGTGGTAGCTTGTATAATCTCTTCTAAGTTTTCTTGAGATTGTGCGATCTACAGGATGTCATCCATATAAGCTAGTACTGATAGAGAAGCATATAGGTAGCAAGAGGTAGGGTTTGTAAGACTATTTTGCCAAGATGTTGAGAGAGTATAGCCAGAGAAAATTGTAGCAATGTATGTGATTAGAGGGTTATAATAGATTCTCCAAAAGAGGGGTGTGATGGTTTTATCTTGATCAATACTATTTTTGACAGTATAGCTATTGGTTAGGCCCAGGTTGGTGATAATACAATTTGTACGATTAGTTAATAGGTTGGTAAGAGTATTAATAAGGGCTTGTGGCATACAGATTCTTTGTAGAGCTCTTTGAAACAGTTCTGGTATGATGGAGTCATATGCCTTGCTTATGTTTTGAGAGAGGATCCATATTGGTTTTGAGTTACAGAGTAAGTCTTCGATAATATTGTTAAGTATGTGGATAGGAATAGAAGTGGAGTTTCCAGATAAGGCAATATAGTTGTAAGGTAAGAGAATATTATATGTGGAGAAGATTTTGTTGAGGCGGTTAGTTAGCAGTTTAGTATAAAGTTTTTTAATATATTCTACAAGACTAATAGAGAGTGTTAAAGAGATTGCTATCAAAAATAGACTTTTTGGATATTGGGTAAATATGGCCCTCTTTTCATTGTTTGAATATGTGTTGGGTTTTGAGACATCGATTAAGAAGTGCAGTAATAGCTTGTAGGAAGCTAGGCCCTGCCCTTTTTAGCATCTCATAGCTAATTTTAGAAGAGCCACAAGCCTTGTTGTTGGGAAGTTGACTGAGTATTGTAGTGATTTCTTTAGTAGAAAAACTTGCGAGAGTATTAGAATGCTAGTAGGCCTGGATATATGTTTTTGGGGTATATTCAGTTTGCTAGTAGGAGTTATAAATGTGTTAGTTAATTGAGCAAGGTGCTATCTAGTTATTGAAGTGCTGCTAAATATGTGTTTTAATTGTTGAGGTATCTGTTATAATATCATTATTGAACTTGATATTATTAAATTTAACAGAGTCTTTATGATGGTTGAGTATACTGTTGATCATTGAGGTGGGTTTGGTTAGCAGCTTAGTATATCTTTTTTGGATAGCTTCTGTGATTTGGTGCCTTATTTGTTTAGTATTTTCTATATTTCGAGCATGAAAGAGTTTTTTTCACTTTATGTTTGTACTGGTAATCCAGTTTGTGATAGGCTAGTAACTAGAGAGCAACAATAGGATTTGTAGATTAAGGTTTAAATTGAGTTGCAGTATGCTAGTGTTTAGGTGGGCAGGGGGTGGAAGATGTTATGCTTGTGCTTGCTTGACTTTTTTGATAATACTGCTAAGCTCTTCAAACCCATATATAAGTGAGAGGCTTTAGCCAAGAATATATGTTGAAAGTTGTGGGTAGTAAATTTCTTGTTTGGGATGTGCTTAAGTGCTGCTATAATAATACTAGACTGTATCTTGTGCCAGGTAGTTTCAAGTAACTTCAAGGTATTAGTAGAGAGTGGGGTGTTGTGAGCTTGTAGATTTTTTTTTTTTATTTTATTTTTTTTTTTTATTATTAAAGACCGATATCACGGTTGCTAATGCTTTATTGTGTTTATGTGTCTTATTACAAATATATTTGCAGACATATTGGTACATTAACGAGTGTACAACTAGTCATACATGCAACTTTTAATTGCCTATTTAAGTAGTCCGCCCGAAGGTTCTACACTAGCTGCTATACCTGCAACCTACTAGGAGATTGTCTATTTAAACCCTCTGATTTTCTGTACCCACCTAGCAATTAGCACCTAAGTTTCCGTACAATGAGTGCCATCTAACTTGACATGTGGTTTCCCTTTCTGTGCTAGGGACCCAGGCCGTACCCCTATTACTAGAGTACGTCACCCAGTAGCAAGGCTCAGAGTGCCGAGCTTGTAGATTTGTTTATACTTGGTTGGTAAAGGTTTTCCATTGCTTATTACTCATTGCTTTATAATCAAATACTCTGTGACAGGTATGTGTTTTGTATCTGGATTGGCCTGTATATGCATAAAGGAAGCACCAGGAGAATATAAGTATTTTGTGGTCACTGAGTATACTTGAGTTAGTATTGTCAGTGGAGTAGCATACAAGATATCGCAGGATCAGTTGGTAGATCCAAATGTAATCTATTTCACTTTGGTATCTAGAGTTATACTAGGTAGGAGCTAATTGTTTTGTATAAGTAGCAAGATTGTACATATTGTTTGTTGTAAGAAACTAGAGTAATTTGTGTTTAATGTTAGTAGACCGAATAGAATTAGTGGAGACATTGAAGTCACCAAGAATAATTGGGAGGATATTATTGGCTATAGTCTGTTGGGTTCATTGGATAATTGTATCTTGAGCTTGAAGTCGAAGAGTAGGGTCATTACAGAACAGGCAGACAGAGATGATGTGGAACTTGAAATCATGTTTGAAAAAAATATCTATAGCTAAAGCATAGCCTGGAAAGGAAATAATATTATGAATATAAGAGGTAAGGTAGTTTTAGATTATTATAGCAGTTCCTGCTCTGGAGCTATTAGTATATGACCAGAAGTAGGTATAGTGTTGTGTTTTGTGGAGTTTGTTAGTAGTGTAGATTCCACTAGCTAGTCTGGTTTTAGTGATGCCAATAATGTTAAGGTTATGAAGGAGGTAGTGGTTTTTCCAGGTTTCTTTTTTGGTGATAGTATTAAAGCCTTTGACATTGTGTATACTGATAGTGAGGTTAAGAGGTTGAAGGTAAGTGTGGGCTAGATTAGGTGAGTTACTCATGAGAGTGCTGTTTGTATCTATTGGCTCTGGACTGTCCAATGTGTGTGTTGCTTGTTTCAGAGGGGGTAGTACTGGCCATATCAATATCCAGATGAGAGAGGTCCATTAAGGTTGGTACAATTGGGTCTGAACTTTCTACAGGTGTAGAGAGGGGGAGGGCATTATCAGGGACTGATGCAAGGCTTACAAATGATATTACTATACTAGAAATAGTGGAATGTAATGCTGATAAGTTGTTGTTATTGAATATGCTCCAGCTAGGAGTGGGGAGGGGAGGAAGTTGTAGTAATGCATCTGGAATAGTTTTAATTGTATAGTGTTGTCTAAGAATCTTCATGGTAGGGGTGACATCAGTTTGTTTGTGGATAGGGAGTGAGATATTAATTTCTTGCTTGGATAAGGCCTGCAGAATCTCTTCTATGTTATTGGAAATGGTAGGGAGTGGTGATCTGGTAGGTGTATTAGCACTGTTAGTATCTGGAAGGTTATTGTTATCAATCTTAATCTAGCTAGAAAGAAGCTAGGTAAAATAGTAGTATTTGTATAAACGTTTGGCAGTAGTAGTTAAATCTTGGCTTATATGATCTCTGCTGGGAGTGAATATGAGATTTTGTAGAAGGGGGATATCTGTTTGATGAACTCTTTGGCATCTGTGTCATTAGTAATAGGGTAGGTGAAAGATGTTGTTATTTTAATTTTGCTAGTATCAGTTAGTAAAAGAGATTTAGTAACAAAGAAGTCATTAGGCAGAAGCTTGAAAGTGTAGTATTCTCTGAGTAGTATAATGATGTCTGTAAGTAAAATTGAGGAAGTTGCTTGGTTGAATGGAAAGAATTTTCAAACTTTGAAGTTAAGCTCTTGATATGTTGTAGGAAGGAATTATTTAGGTAGTAGTAAATCAAAATATAAGTTTAGGATTTTGGAAACAGTGTAGAAGTTAGCTAGTTTTCTTTTGTATGCTGCAAGGTGTTAAAGTGCTGAGTGGTAAGAAATAGAGAATAGCTAGCGTAAGCTAGGTATAAGTCCATTATAGTAAGGGAAGTTTGCAAAATAGGTCTCTGAGAGTTCTGAAAACTTGAATATCCTTTTTAGGGCATTTACTATAGCTTTGGAGTGTGAATATTGTGTAATGGGGAGCTTGAATGATAATGCTTATCTCTTTGAGGATATGTTCAAGTAGGTCGGGTAAAGGGATTAGTTTACTTTCAAGTGCTTTAATTATTTGTATTTTGATTTCTTTGTAGATTTCTTCATTTGTGTCTTTGATCTGCAGAAAACCTCTAGCATAGTGGATAGCTTTGTGTACGAGTTTTAGAGAAATCTTGGCAAAGTTGATATTGGACAAGTATTGGGCAATTAGCATTTTTCTTAGTATAGAGTGGATAGTGTTGTGTATAGTGATGTTGGTGAGTATGATTTCAATTTTTTTTTTGTAAGTTGCTAAGGCTTTGTTAAAAAGCTTGTTATATTCTTTTTGGTGGGCCGGAGTAGTTTTGGGGTTACGAGTAAATGTAGTAAAGAAGCATGTATCATAGTATATGAATTTGAGTACAATTGTGATTAGTAATTTGTATTGGGTTGGAGTAGTAGATAGTTTGTAGTTGACAAAGTTAAAGATACCCTTAGGAGTTTTAAGAGCTTTTGCAATAGTATCGAAGGACTATATGTTGGTATCAAATGGCATAGTGGTAGGTGTTGAGATTTTGTTATGCATGTTTGTGGCCTATTCCATATTGTCTAGGGTATTGGTAGTGAGAAGTGTCAAGTTGGTTTTGGTTATCTGGCTGTATAGTGGTTTGGTTGTAGCTGTTTGGCCAGGGGTTTGAGATATGAAGGTAGTAGAGGTGTTGCCAAGTATGGTTTTAGTGGCTTTGTTAGAGACTGTTATGAGTGGTGATATGTTTCTGGCCTTTTTGTAGCTTGTACTCAAACTAGCTATATTGGTTGCTATACCAGGAGTAGAAGTAGATGCTGAGATAACCAGCACAGTAATTTGGTTAGTAGATATACTAGATCTGGGTGTAGCTGTTGCAGTAGTGTTGTTGGTGTTTAGCAGTGGTATTGTGGTTATGTTTGTATTTGTATTGGTGTTTTTATCTGTATCACTAGTAGCAATGGTATATGTATCAGCAAAATTATTAATAGGTGTGAGGTGTGAGACTGGGTTATTATTGGTGCTTTTGTTAGACTTATTATCAGATTCTATTTGTGTAATCGAGTTGTATGGGATTCTAATCAAATCTGGATTGCATTTTGCTTTGGTGAACGGCTTCATACTGCTCTCGTAAACATTTGTGATTGTGATAAGGTTACAACTATGAGTTGATTTGGGGTGTTTGGCGCTGATGTTTACTGTGTTGTTTTTGTGTGCTATAAGATTGAATAGGATTGATTGGGCTGGGTCTTTATGCTTGCATATCTATTGGGATGGGTAATTAACAAAGTTTGGGATTTTGCCTAATTTAGTAATATTTACATAGAAGAGAAAGTCATTGGCATGTTCAGGGATACAGAAGCTAACAGTAAAGGTAAGTTTAGACTAGTCTTTAATAGTAATTTCAACAAAATTTTTTGTATACTCAGTAGCTGGAGTCGGTGACTAAATAACAGTAGAGTATCTTTGGGTTGCACAGATTTGTAGAATATAGAAAAATAGCCAAAGATGCCAGAGGAGCTTTCAGAAGTCATGTTTTTGATGGAAGGCTAGGGCTCAGTATGGGAGGTTGTTGAGTGTTTTTTGATATTTTGGTGTAGAAAACTAACAGTACTTTGCTGTGGAGTACTTAGATGTAGGTAGTCATTAGGACTGCTTTCGCATGAGGATAAAAAAACTAGTTTTTTTCTTTTGAGGTGTTTATTATAATTTATTTATCGAGAAAGCAACTTTTCTTTAAAAAGACATCTTTTTTAGATACTTTTCTAGATGCAGAGTAACTTTACTTAGAAGCTGGATATCAAATTACTTAGTAGTTTTTAAAGATATTTTCGCAGGAAAGTTTTTCTTCTTGTTCCTATTTTGGTAAAAGTAATCTATAGAAAGAGTTACTATTTTAAATAAAGTTATAATAATAATAATAATAATAATAATAATAATAATAATAATAATAATAATAATAATAATAATAATAATAATAATA